CCCTCGTGGTCTGCCATTTCGAGCCGCTCGTCCCTCTCAGCTACCGAGTGTTCATTGAGACATTCATTTAAACTTTGTATATGAACACGTTCATTGCTGGCCTTGTCTTGATGGGTCTCTGCGCCTGATTCAACACCTTTGGGTGCGAGATGGCGCAGAAACACTGTGGTTTCACTTCCATCTGGAAATTTGACGCTTGCAAATTGCGGATTAACATCAAGTAATTCCACCTCGTCCACCAACGGATCATATTTATTGTAAAGTATTTGGCGCTTGAGATACACAGTCTTTTGAGTCATTAACCAGGTAGGTGTTGCCCTCCCACTGGCCGATCTCCGTTAGTAGCCAAACATCCGTTCGTGTGGACTGGTATTAGTGGCAGTTGACAATAGCGATCGAATGCAGTGGAGAGCATCCAATGAGTAGTAGGTAGATTTCTGGATTTCGGCGTGTCACCGTTCTCCAGATGATGCCATTATAGAGCTCCACTTGACTATTACCTTGGGGGTTGTAGGCAGTCGTTCTACTGGTGGCAACTCTACGCTGATGCAAAAACTGCTTCAGTTCGCCCGACATGAACGACGCTCCAAGATCGGAATGAATATAGGCTGGCAAGCCAAAGATCGAGAATAATGAGCAGAGACATTTTATCACAGTGTTTGTCGACAGATCAGAGCATGGGGAGGTGAATGGAAACCTCGAATATTCATGGATTATCGTAAGTAAATACCGATTTCTTGGCTTAGAAGGAAGAGGTCCCTTGAAATCCACATTCAGCCTTTCAAGAGGCTGAGTAGCTTTTATGAGAGTACCAGAGTCTGATCTGAAGAATCACGGCTTAAGTTCCAGACATGTAGGGCAAGTGGCAGTCATCGCCTTTATGTTACTGATAGAGTAAGGTAGATTTCTGCTCTGTACAAAGTGCATCATCCTAGTAATACCTCGATGACATAAATTATTGTGAAGAGTCTTCAGATCATCTGTAGCAGATACTGAACTGCATACGCGTGAGAACGCATCCGCAGCAGCATTTTCTTTGTGAGGACGATAGACAATGTCGTAACTAAACATGATATGACCTATCGCCATCTAGAGATCTTCTCATTCTTGACTTTGCTCAAACTTTTGGGGTTGAACATGAAGGCAACTACCTCTGATCCGTGGCCAACCGAAAATTGTGCCCAATTAAGTAGTGTGTCCATTTTCTCAATGCCTCCACTATAGCGCAAGTCTCCTTTTCGACAGAAGAGTGCTTCTGCTCTGAAGCCGTGAGTGTCCTTAAGAAGAAAGCCACAGGTCGACCAGACTGACTCAATGAAGCAGTTATAGCGTACTCTGAAGCGTCAGTTTCCACAACAAATGGTACTGTTGGATCTATAGCAGTCACTGCTGAGCCAGCGATGTCATGCTTAAGGCCTTCAAAAGCTTTGATTTCCAAACGTAACAGTGGGAAACCTTTTGCCTGTGCCAAAGGGTGGATTTTCTCGGAAAATCTAATAATCCATTGGGAATAATGTGCAAACATTCCCATGGCACGTCGAAGTGAGTGTCATGTGGTACAGAAAGGTCCAGGAGGGGCCTCAAGCGTTCCTGGTCAGCCTTGATTGTGTCATCACTAATTGTGTAACCAAGCAAGTCAACAGACGTCAGATAGAAGTTGAATTTGTCATCATTCAGCATTAGGTTATACCTTTTGACCACATCTAAAAACCGTTTGAGGTTGGCGTCATTTTCTGCCTTATCACGACCACACACTGTCACGTCGATGTATGCGAAAATGCCATAAAGTTTCCCCAAAAGGTATTCTACAGAATTGGTAAAGACGTCCACCAGCCTCAGATGCAGTGTATGGTCTATCTTCCTGTTTGATAGCCACTTGATTATATGCACTGCATAGATCTAGCGTACTAAACACACGATATCTAGCGATCTCCCTTACCATGTCATCGATCCGAGGTAGTGGATACGCATCTAACAAGGTGAAACGATTGACTGTCTACGAATATTCTATCACCATTCTCCGTTTGTGGCCTTCGGACGAAGTCACCAATGCCCGAGCACGCCACGGACTCTGAATTGCCTCGACGATGCCCTCCTTCAGCATTCTAGACACTTCAAAATCAATAAACTTCTTGTCGTCATGTGAATAATGCCTCGATTTCACTACTATTGGCTTGCAGTCAGGTGTCAGGTCGTCAAACAATGACGGAAATGGGAATTTAACAGCGGCAAGCCCACACACCGTCAAGAAAGGCATGGAGCCGCCGAACGGAATTTGAACCGCTGAGTGCTTCTGTAGGAAGTCGTATCCAAGAATAGCATCACTACAGAGGTCCGGCATCACAGACAATCTAACATCACTGTAATTAGTGTTATTGAGTTTCAGATTAGGAATACAATATCCCAGAACCCTCAAGGTTAGAGAACTATTTGCCATAGACACCTTTCCCAAACAAGGGAGTAATTTCCATCCATGAATGTCTACAATACTAGAGCTGACAAAGTTTTTAGAACTGCCGGTATCAACGAGTGCAGTGACAGGAACTCCGTTTATCTTAGCTTTCATCATAGCTCTTGACAGACAGCCAGGAGATTCAGCAGAGAGTGTCGCCAATTTCGAGAATGATTCAGAGGTGGCTGCATAGGTGAACTTAGCAGTTCGGCACACATGATGGCCTTTCTTTTTGCAGTTGAGGCACAGCACATCCCTTGCAGGACACTTGGAGCGAGGGTGTCTACCAAGACCACAGAAGAAACATTTCAGATTGGCAGCAGCCATAGTTACTGGCTGTTCAGGCTGGTCAGTTGGGGCAGATGTGAGTGAAGCTCTTCGGGGCAGATTTAAAACCGATTCCCGATTTGGAGACGCCATTGCAGCATTAGTAGTGTCGGGTTGCTTTTTATGAAATAGACTGATTCTGGGCCATCTTCAATGTATGGGCTTGTCCATATGTAGTTTGCAGGTCGAGTGTTTTATTCTCAAGAAGGCGCTGTCGTATTTGGTGGGCTTCAAGTCCGTTAATGCATCTCTGATATAATTGTTGCGTGCCTCCTCGGCTGAGGCTGCTTGAAAATTACAGTTCTTACTCAGGGTCCTCAGTGCTTGCAGGTACTGGTCCAGAGTCTCTCCAGCTTCTTGACGACGAGTTGCTAAAACGAGTCTGGCAAAGATCTCATTTTTAGGTTTGATGTAAAGCTCCTTGAGTATGTTAGCAGCATCTTCGTATGAATCACAGTCAGTGATGAATTCATGGACAGATGGTGCAACCTAGTTGATCAAGAGATTTAGCCTGTTCGGCTGAGTGGCCTCAGTTGTGAGTGCATCCAGAAAGTTTGTGCAAGTTCGGTGCCAGTGAGCCCACTGCTTGGTGGCTGATGCTGAGTTTGGGTCCACATCAAAACGGTCTGGCCTCATAAACCTCTCCATCATTAAGTTGAATAAATTGTTATGAAAACGAAGGTAAGATCTGTAATAAACAGAATAAACAGGAATTTGAAATTAAGAATAAATAAGCTTCAAGTAACAGAATTAATTGGCTTAACACATACAGTATAAACATAACATAACATAACACAACATAACATAACATAACATAACATAACATAACATAACATAAGAAATATAAGAGAATTTAAATAATATAATCAAGAGCACTTAACCAACTAAGCATAACACATCATAGGAGTCAACAGGTTTCAGCCCATTTGAATTAGTTTATGGGCATGATGTGAGAGGGCCTCTCAGTATGTTAAAGGAAAAGTGGCTTAGAAATGAGGAACCCCTGGTTTGTTAAAGTATGTTTCTGATTTTAAGAACAGATTAATGAGAGCCAGAGAAATAGTTGCTGAGAATATGAAAAAGTCTCAAAATGACATGAAGGTGTGGTATGATAAGAATGCTAGGGATAGAAACTTTAAACCTGGTGAGAAGGTGTTAGTGCTGTTACCATTGCATGGAAATCCATTGAAGGCAAGGTTTAGTTGTCCATGGGTGGTTGAAAGAAGATCAGTGACGTGAATTATGTAGTTAACACCCCCAGACAGACACAAGAAAAAACAGTTGTGTCATATAAATATGATGAAACCTTACCATGAGAGACGAGTAGAGAGCGACAGAGAAAATGAGATAAAAAGTGATGCACAGTTGCCTCTGTCTGCCCAACAGTAATTGGGAACCTGGATGATAATCGTTTTGCGGATCGTATTCCGAGGTAAGCCAGTGCAGTTGGAGAGTTGTCCGGTCTTCTCGGACTATTCCTTGACACTGGGTCATGCAGCTCGTTAACTCAGGATGTGGTTGTTGTGTTGGCGACAGCTTCAACACCTTAAACAAATTCACTCCTAGGTGGCCCTTGGGCCGGCCATCCTCGTTACACGAGGATGGGTTGAGCTAGTCACTAGTGTTTTTAAGGTGCAAAGTGTGTGTGTGTGTGTGTGTGTGTGTGTGCGTGTGTGTTCATTAAAACCAGTGGGATGCAGCTGTGTCAGAGACTAACCTCAACACGACTGGAATTCCCAAGGTTGTGTCTGGTTTTGTTTTTATTTCACTAGTGGTATGCCTTGACGGAAGAGAAACTGAGGAAAACACACGAGAAAAGGGGGTAACAAGATAAGGAAAAAAAAAGAGATACAATCAGAAAATAGTTTGTCTCTGATGAGAAAATAACTATATATATATATATATATATATATATATATATATATATATATATATATATATATATATATATATATATATATATATATATATATATATATATATATTACAGTAAATGTGTAAACATACGAGTACATATGCATCTGTGTGTGTGTATTGACGTATTAGTTATTTATCATGGAAAACCCTAATTTGATGTTAAGCTGCATCAGCATTATTGGTTCAAAATGATCTATTAAGTAATAAATATATGCATCCAGTTACCCAATCAGTTTGGACTGATTATTAGAGTTGATCGGTTCAAATGAAAACACAAAGTGTCTTTAGACTTTTTAGAGTATGGATTTAATACATAGCATGGGGGTAGGATAAAGGGGGTGAAAAGGCATCTCTCTCTCTCTCTCTCTCAGACACAGTTTAGCATGGTCCTAAATATATGCTTCTTCATCAACAAGTTAGTGGACTACAACACCTGGTGCGCTCATTCCCTTCACAGCTCCCACCACCCTCCACCACACAATTTTAACATCATGTTAGAGCAGCCTGAAATGTTACTTCAGTGGTAAACTGCGACGTATTGCACCCCCCCCCCCACACACACACACTACATGCCCGCATACATCTGCATTCAAATTAATCCCCATATTCTTATAAAAACATTTAATATACACACGCTTCCGCATACATAAATAGTCTATCTAATATATACTCATGTGTATACTATATGTATACTAGTTTGATAAAGAAAACCTCTATAATAAAACCAAAAACAATTATCGCCTCTTACATCTGGATGAACATTATTTTCCTGACACTCATTGTCTTCAGTAAAGTCGTTCTGATACACGCGTCAAGTCCTGTGTTCATTCTAATGTGAACATGAATTAGTGAGCTGCTCGCCCGACTGTGAGGATGTTGACTATGTGCGAGACTGTCTGTTTCTGCCTTCCAGTATGGGAACCTGTTGGTGCAAAGATTAAACATGTGTGAATGTTAACTTGATTTCTGATTTTGCGTAAAATATGAAGGCATTTACGGGACATTTATTTTATCAAAATAAGTTCACGTGAGTGGAAAGAAACTTGACATAAGGTAACTTTAATTTTAAGTAATTAAACACACCATTACTTCTTCCGTTTAGTATTTATCAAGATGGTTTCCCTTCAACATCACATTAAACAATCTAACATTTGGATAATGGTGAATTTTGCACAATATCTGTATTTCCACAGTATATCAAGATCATCTGCTGAAGCGAGGATAACCTTTGATCTCCTGCTCATAAACTTGAATAAACATGCCGGCAAGATTACTGCTCGCTAGTTTCATTAACCCGCAGAGGAGTGATGAGCTCGCTTACTAGGACTCATTAATTAGGCAGATCTCAGGTGAGGGTGGTGAGGCAAAAGCTCAAGAGGACTCCGGTCTCCAGGTACCTGGCGGGGTCTTGGTGAGGGTGAGAGCAGCAGGACTGGAAGGAAGGAGTAAAAACTACATAGGGACGTGAGATTAAGACCAATCATGCAGCAGCTACACATCTAGGCTGGGAGTCTTTGGCGAGAAATAGAGCGATATAATCAGAAAATACAAAAGCTCCCACCAGAAAACTACATTGACTGTAAACTTAAGAAGGCACCAAGGGACCAACTTCACCCTCCACCTTCATGGGTAGGCAATAAACATTCTGCCCGAAAAAGAAACTGCCAGCCAGGTCAGTGGAATATGAAATAAGGCCTAAAAATTATTCAAGATGAAATAGGATAGGCTACCTATTGCCAAAGTTGCCAGTGTAGATAGCCAATAAGAAAAATTAACCTGACCATCTACAAAAATCAATACTTACCCAACATGTACCTTGCACATAATATGATGCCCACATACAGTACTTAGGTTAGCTAGTCAGTATCAATGCGATCAACCCGTTGAAATAACAAGAAGCTTTTATTTTTACCTTTTATTCTTATTTCTATTTATTTACTTACTTTTACTATTTTTTTTCTCTAATTCTCTATTTTTATTCGTAATCTTTCTCTGTTCTTTATACTCATGAGATGGAGAGGCTAGGAGGTTGAGAGAAACTAGAGAAGAGAGGGAGGTAAGAAGGCTAAGGAATGTGAGAAGGGAGGGGCAGGGGTAGTCCCTCCCCGTGGTCAACCTCTCCCCACACTGAGGGTAGGTAAAGAGTGGAGGATAAGGGGAAACTGATGAAGGAAGGAATAGCGAGGAATAGGAATAACATGTGATAACTGAGACACTAGGGGAAACAGGTGATAGGTTATGTTATTACTAATGGGCACACTGAATCACTGTATACCACCAAGACACTTATAACAAATCATTCTCATTGAGGGAGGGATGAATTAGGACTCTTAGTAAAGGCTAATGCACTTATTGAATACTTTCTATTAGGATATGACAATTACACAACAAAACAATAAGCCTATGCTCCTAGCTAGTTAAATGGGAACCATGTATCTCACAACATATGGGAACTTAAGGATTTACCAAATAGAATACACCCAAAAATACCTGCTATGTCGCCACCACAGACGTCCCACACCTCTCTCCACAAAATTCCAACACAGACACTCGGTTTGAAAAGCGAGTGCCCGCCTTAGCTTTTTTTTTTTTTTTTAGATTTGTAGGAATATTACCTACGCGGACCTTAAGCTAAAATGCTGGTCCACCCACTGCTGGGATAAAACACCAGCATCTTTTTGGTTAAATGTACATCTCCACCACTAGCGTGGGGGTGGATGCTCAGCTTTTTTAGATTTGTAGGAATATTACCTACGCGGACCTAAGCTAAAATGCTTGAACAACCTAATGCTGGGATAAAACACGCAGATCTTGGTTAAATGTAATATCTCCACCACTAGCGTGGGGGTGGGATGCTCGGTAAGAAACTGTAGGTTCCTTGAGAGCGGTTGGTGGTTGGCAGTCTGGCAACCTCTGCTGTGATAGGGTTGTATGTTTCTCCCATAATTGTGTTCCAGGGCACCTATGAGGTACTGTCTATGGTGTTTCGTCTGCGGTCGCAGGTCTTGCATATGCGCGCTCTGCTGGTACTGGTACAATGATTTCCAAATGCATGGGTATCCCAGTCCCAGTCGGTGGAAGCGACTTCTTCCTTGTTATATCCTTCATGAATGGTGGTCTCTCATAATTCGTGACCAGATAGTACCACCTGGCCGATCGTGCTACTGGTGTTAATCTTCTATGTTTGTTCATTTCCCCACCACCAGTATTGTGGTCTTCTTTATCTGCCCTGACCGGGCGGGATGTTCATCTCAATGTTTCCGTCCTAACGCAAAGCCGGCAGGCGCAGCATCAGCTCTCGTTAATTCCTGGGATTCAAATATGAATAGGTACCCAGCGTTGGCTGATAACTCTGCCGATCTTGTAGTTTTAAAACTTTGCGAGTAGACCAATAACGGATGTTATGGTATTTGAATGTTGTCTCTATGCTCTCTGCATTGGGGAGCTCAATAGCACACGTGAGTCAGTGTGTATTAAATGTTTTGTTGACTGCTTGCGTGGGAAGCGTGTCTAGGGCTCCAAGTATGGCAGCTAGCTCAACTTGCAAAAGTAGAGCATCCATCTGAGGTTCTCCAAAGGACGTTACCTCCTTCTATGCGGTAGGGGCTGCCCTGCCTCTCGTACTGGTAGTCTCCTTACGGAACCGTCTGTGTAATACACTGTACTACTGTGAGTGTTAGAGCCTTCATGTTTCTCTGCCATCTGTCGGAGCTCATGTGGGTTGGCAGTCAGCCTTTCTTGTCCCAGTTTGTGGTGAATGTTGATGACTGCTGGCGGAGACTCCCACGGTGCTGGGATGCTGTAGTCTGGTCTCATTGCATCAGGTCCTTTGCTGAGGATTGTGTCTTTAAATTTCAGTCGATTTACAGCGTTTCGCCGCGCACAATAGCTATGCTTTAAAGACATTCAAGGGGTTCAGTGCTCGTAAGTATCTAGCTCCCGATGTCACTTTCCTAGGAGCCCTGGTAATCAGTTTGCTGCAGCACGCTGTTAATCGTTCCGCTCTGGTTTGGAGAGAGATGAGACTCCGTCTCCGCGTAAGTTTTCAATTTTTTTCCAATATAAGTTTACCAATGGCTCTGGCAGTTTTATTCGGGCAATCCTTTCACGCCCACTGCCCATCAAACAGTGTGTTAAGAGCCGGTGTCGCATAAGTCTGTTAATGGTCGAAATGGCGTGTATATATAGGGTTCTAGGGACTACATGTCCTGCACCCACCTTGGGTCCTGTCATGTACCTCATCATGTTGACTCTCTCTTGCCTATTCGGTCTCTCTTAGATAGTTTATTCTCAGTGTAAATTTTAGGCATTTATCAATCCAGATGCCCAGGTATTTGTATACATTGACCCATTGTGTGGGCAATACCTTGTATTAAAAGCCAGCCACTGGCTCATATTGTCCAATCAACTTCATGGCTTTCGATTTGGGGATTGGATATCTTGAGCCCGAGACTCCAAACATTCTTCACTGATGAGGTCTAGTGCTCTTTGACTTTGCTGATTTTCTGTTTCTGCCTTTTACTATCAGTGCTAAGTAGTCAGCATAACATAGCAGTTTGGTACCCTTGAAAAGGGAGCTTCTGAGCCAATAAGTCATAAGGATGATGAAGAGAGATGACTAAGAACCTCCTTCCTTGTGGTGTGTCATTTTCCAGTCTTATGATCTGAGACTTGTCCTGACAGGTGGGTAATCCCCTGCTGTTCTGTTTTGGAGATAGTCAGTAATCCAAGCCAGTAGGTATCCCTTGACTCTTTCTCCGGGGCAGAGTGAGCCAGGCTGGCCTGTGATTTGCCAGCTCAAAATGCTTCTAGATCAAGAATACTACGATTAAGCTTATTTTGACCAATCGATCCCAGGAGAGTACAAACTGTGCGCAGTGCTGAGACCTTGGTGAATCCAAAGATATTGTGGTGAAGTGGGTCCAATTTTTCCAGAGGAGTCGGCAAGGACCCGTCCTTTCAGTGGTTTTGCCGATGCATGCTGTTTGGTGATATTGGTGTGAAATTCAGGAGAGCATTGGGTTTGGGAATAAGAACAATGTTTGCTGTTTTCCAAGCTGACGGGAGTTTGCCTGCTGACCATGATGCGTTTATGACCGTTAGGAGAGCAAGTCTCACCAGCAAGTCCTGCATTGCTGGCGTAAATTAATGAAGTTTAAAACAATGCCGTTAAGAGTGGTTTCGTTTGTTTTCCTGGCCCTTCTGATTTCTTCTATAGTAAAATGTGACAAAATTGTGTGTGTCAGCTTGTTCAATTGCATGTCTGACTACTACTTCTCCCAGTTGTACTTCCTGTAGATGAAATCTTTATTTCAGGAGATAGTTGAGCTGATGACGAGCGTTCTGCAAAGTGCTCTTCCAAGTGATTTGCTTCCCTGTAGTGCTGGGGGTGGGCTGGAGATCTGGGCAGATTTTTGCTATCCTGAGTTTTCTCCTTGAGCTCATTTATGCTGGTGCTTTTAAAGGCTGTACACCACTCGAGGCATTTGTCTTCCCTAATTTTCTGAGTAATTTGACGAGCATGTTGAACAGCAGTTCTCAAGAGAGTTTCCACCCCTGTGTATGTATTGTCGGGAGGTATGCCCTTTCTTGAATGTGTTGATTCTGTGATTCTGTTCTCTGACTTTGCCATTGCAGAACCAGTAGTCTTTGGTGTCTATTTGTAGGGTTTGCTTGTACAGTTTTTCCGTTGCGTAAGTTGTATGGCACCAAAGTAAGGTCCTGGTGTAGTTGGTCAATATCTTCTGCTGGTCTACAGTTCTGCCATTTTGGAGTTCATCTTGATATAATTTCAATTTGCTTCTTTGCATTCCCATCTGGGTGGCGGACGTGGGGAGGAGGTAGTAGTTCCATTCTCAAAGTAGTTGTCGTTGCAAAGTGGTCACTGTCAGTTCATCATTCCATTCCCACTGAGCTACTGGAACGAGCTCAGTGGAGATGAATGTGAGGTCCAATGTTCCTCCCAGTATGTGTGTTGGTTCCCCAGTATTAATGAGCGTTATTTCTGGAACATCTGCCAGCAGTTCCACTAGGTGATGACCAACCTGCTCATTCTTGTGTTCGAATTGAACGTTGGATGGTGGGTATTGAAGTTCCTGTGTTGCTTGTGTCAGTAGTTCACCGGCTTCTGGTCGTTTGGGTGGCGTATTTATACAAATTGTATACTACAAAACTATCGTTTGCCAGGTGTATCCGAACACCTTGTGCCTTTACTCCATCTCCACAGTAAACTGGTTTTACTTCTGAACTGGGGATGGTCGCCCTGACGAGAATCATGCTGCCATGGGAGCAACCTTAGAGCACGTTGGTATCCAGTAAAAGTGAATTGTTTATCTTGGACATCAGGTTTCTGCAGAATGAAGACATCAATATTTTAGCTATGGCTGCTGCTTGTACAGTATGCCAGTTTGTTGGAGAGGCCTTGTACATTCCACCAGGTATGGTCTTGAGATGACAAAGAGGCCATTCTATCATTATTATCTCCGTCGCTGTGCTGTAGTTGCTCTTTATGTTCATGGTTGAATGCTCTCCTCCTCGTCCGTTAGGAATGGTGGATGTGTTTTTGGGCACCTGTTCTGGAGGGAGGAGCAGGAGGTGGAATCCTGCTGCATTTTGGGAGGTATCTCGGGAGTTTTTTCTTCTCTTCAGGGTGTTGTCAAATGGTCTGTGGACGTGCTCGCTGACGGTCTGTGTTTGCTGTTCCCATTCCTGATCTAAGCTGCAAGGGGTTTGAGATTTCAATGGTTTTGGAGTGATCTCTCGGATGGCAAGTCTTTCCTCTTGTCTGATATCTGTCTCTGCTGGCGTCAGTCTGTTCCACTCTTGGTTGTGAGTTTTGGGGGTCTGGTCTTCCTGCATCTTTTCTGGGTGAGCTGCCTATAAATCCGCATTTATTATGTTTTCGGTGCTGGTATCTTGTTTCTGCATTTAATGCAGAGAAAGTCACTATCATAATAGTGATCATCTATTTTATTTGTTCTTCTGAGTAAATGCCGCTCGTAGATTACAGGCCGGGGTGTATCTAAGCAGTGGTCACCCGAAGCGCTTTCGCAGTGTCCTTGTGGCATTAGCGTGGTGCTTCCCACCAGTCACGGAGTGTTCTGTGTCTTACTGCTACACGCTCTGGATCTGCGGTTGTGGAGTCCACTGATTTGTCATGGCTTCCTGCATAGACTGATTTTGTCCCGGTGTCTCAATTTGTCCTCCAGCCTGGTGGGGAAGTCTAGGGAAGGAATCCTCTGACAGTTGGGCGGGTGGGTGTTGGGGCTGACTGTTTTATGTCGCTGCTGATCCCACGCGAATGTGTTTCTGAGGTGATTCTGCTGTGTTTTTGTGGTTGAATTCGGCTATTGCAACTTTCAATCGCCTTCCTCTCTGGGCATGATGTGCCCAAGCGTGATAAGTGTTTCTTTCTCACAATTTGGGGCACTTGGCTGTTGGTGGTTCCTTCCTTGTGTTTCTTGAATGACATTTCTGTCTTGTGGTTTTACGCAAAATGCCACATCTCACGCTTTTTGCGGTGGCATCTCGATTGGTGATGTCCAAATTCCTGACATTTGTAGCATCGTAGTGGTTCTTGGGGACGTGCTGACGCAACTTGTAAGTTCCCCCAGTTGCCTAGGTCTACCTCCTCTGGACTTGACATGGGTCACTTCTTGGATGTTTTATGATGACTTCTACAGGTAGCGTTCCAGAGGATATCGTAGTAGCAGGGACCATTCTGGTTGTTTCTCCTCGGGGCCCAATGTATTATCTTGACCGTCTTCCCGTTGATATTTGCACTGCTGAGGATCTGGCTGTGTTGTGGTCTTGGGGAAAAGTATCAGGTCTCCAACTAGATTTCACGCTGAACTTGATGTTCTTGTATTCTAGTTCAGTGCTACCACTACCCCGTATGCACATGGTTGAATTCGGTTTCTTGGGAATATTGTACTTCATCACAAATGGACGCGAATGTGGTGGTTCTGCAACTGATAACTGGGGACATATACCTGCGTCGGAGATGTTGTCTTCCTTCCGAGGCCTCTTGTGGCATTTCTTCCATTGTTACGTCTCTCGCTCTTCTTAAATCAATAAATTGAATGAAGGCTCACTACATCTACCTAGTTCCTTGTTGCCCTAGGACCAGTGCCGTAGCCACCCCCCACCCAACGGGGTCGTAGGTTGGTGGCCTCGGGCCTGCAAACAGACCCCCAAAAAAGGGAGAAGCCTAATCTACCCTATCAGCTAAACTCACCAGCTCAGCCCAGCCCCTCAAGGGTTCAATACTCGGGAGAACTGGTGAGGTCAAGAAAATGTGAGCATAAAACACAAAGAAACAAGCAAGTCAATTCACCAGAGACGAGATATCCACGTCAAAGTGAGAGTGGCGTGTGGCTACAGTAAGTTCGGCTAGGGCGCCGTCGTGAGCAAGTGGAAGCACGGGTCGGGAGTAACCGCGACATGCATCTTTCACACAACGGTGGCTCATGCTGAGCTGCCCGCCTTACCGCAAGTTAGCGGCCTTGGTGTCGGCATAAACTCAGCCTCCAGCCAATCAGCACAGTTTGGCACATGACGTCACACTCACAGGCCACTGTGGCTCATGCCTCAGGCACTCCTGGTTTTGGCGGAACACTTGTTCTATGGCGGGTAATCTTTGTTTAGGCTGAAGTTTCCTGTATTTCTCGAAACATGATACAATCTACTCCCAAAAAACAACAACATGGCAGTGTTACACCGTCAACACTACCGCCTACGTCACTCTCTTCCTTATATTAAAAAAAAAAAAAAATAAAACGTGGGTCACCGACCCACATCGAAACCTGGGGACTGGGGAGAAAAAAAAGGAAAAATAAAAATAATTTGGAGCATAAATAAATACAGACATGGAAAATATAAAACAGATCAAGAGTGGACACAAAAAATATGTTGTGCTGTCAAAGTAAGAGGAACAATTGAGGTCCGGCAATTATATAAATGAGGCAGAAAGTCAACTAGAACAGCAACCTGGAACTTGATCACAATTTTGTGTTGCCATATGTAGTGAACCAGCCAATATGGGGTTTTCCTTTTCGACTGCACTGACGTGTTAATAAGGAGGCACCTATGCTATTGTCATGGGTTGCGTTAGGCTTACCCACGCAACCAACTCCAAAGTTTGTTTTACCAGAGATAAGACGCCCGGCGAGGCATAACTGGGACATGTATTTTTCAATTAGTGTATGTTAGCCAGCCTTTAGGGGGGTGGGCAGTGGAACAGTGTTGTACTGTTCATCGCTTCACACCCAAAAACCTCATTTTAAGCAGTATCCCCTGAGCCATGGGTTAGTTAAGACGTCGCCTCCAGCCTCTCCCTCCTGAAGGGGGGGCGGGACACCACACCACACAGAGTCCTCCACCGCACTCCGTCCTGTGAACCGTCGTCGACACGAGACTAAGCGTGTTAACCTAGGTTTGTTATCCCCGTGGAAATATCACGTGTGGATGCCTGGTTGCGACAAGAGCAATCCAGGCTGGCCTATCAAACCTACAGTAAATGGTTAATTAATTCACGCTTACAGAGTTCTCCTGCACGACACCCGTCTACCGTGACCGTGATCGACACGAGACTAAGTGTGTTAACCTAGGTTTGTTATCCCCATGGAAATATCACGTGTGGAAGCCTGGTTGCGACAAAAGCAATCCAGGCTGGTCTATTGCACCTAATGGTTAATTCAAGTCACGCTTACTAGTTCTACTTGCCGCGACAACCGTCCACAGTGACTGTCAGTGACGCGAGACTATGTGTGGTAACCCAAGAGTACCTTTTTGTTGTTATGGCCGTGGGAAGAAGCTCTTGTGATGAAGCCTGGTTGCAACAAAAGCAATCCAGGCTGGCAGTAAATGTATCACTTGAAGAATTAAGGCTCTGTTAAGCCACACCCATAGTAGAGTAACCACATGTGTCCCCAAGTTGAAAATTCCCTGTTTTAGAAGATTAATTTTATTACAGCGTGAACGTGAGTAAATCATATATCCATGCAAATTGTAAATCATTGTATGGAAGCTTGACAAATAAATGTAAGTGCAATTATCTGCCCGTATCTGTGATCCTATCTTATTATTACTAAAGGTAATGACTGATTGGTTATGACATAGTATAACCAATAAATTAGATGGATGTTGAAAATTAAATGAATTCATTAAATCATCATTTATCAAGTATAAATCATGGAATGTCGAGTGGTGGAGTGAACTTCTACGTAGATACGCCATAATCTCCTGTAAGTAATCAGTGTGAAGGTATCGGACTCTACGGTAAGAAATAAGAAATACGACATATTATTATCTTTATATAATATAATCCACTCCTACTACCACCGAACCACCCCAAAACCATGACAGCTATATCAATTCTACTTAGTTAAAAAAAATAGTTGTGGGTGGGTTACCCTATGGGAGGGCAGTCTGGGTTCACCACCACAGGGGGGTGAGTGGGGCTAGGAAATATAATAAATATATAATGATAAAGTTAGTTAATGAAAATCAGGAAAACAGATCTGCACAATCAAACCTGAAATTCAAAATATGAAGACTTTTCTCCATATATATACTTTACTGTATATAGAAAATAAAAAAAATAATTTGTTTTTCTTATGTGAGGTAGGTGTTAATTCTTTGCCCATTGGAAACACCTGATGTGTTATTTTAAAACAGCTTATGGAGCTGTCATATAACAGCCTTGGAGCTGTCTAGTTTGTTGGGTTAAGTTGTCAAAACCCAAATGGTCTCTTCTCCATGTATTTATAAAATATAGTACACATCAATAAGGAGAATACCGTAATTAACACTGAAAGCTGTGAGTGTTGGAAGAATAGACGGCAAGCTTATCTGGAAGCTTGGGAATCAACGTCTGTTTCTCGTGAGGGTCAAGTGATAACTGAGCGGCGAGCGCAGAGAGCCGGCTTCTATTGGCTGACCTAATCATCTTGATGACGCTACTTGATAGAGGAAAATACCCATCACGTGATATGAACATGAACCTCACAGCTCATGAAAAATTACGAGGGGTGATATCATTATATAACAAATGTATTTACCCGTATTTATATAAGTACTATTATCTATGAGACAGGGGCTAATACAATCTGCCATATGTGCCGATAAATAATAATAATAATAATAAAAATAATTAACGGTTTATTGAAAGAGCTTGGCAGCCAGAAGGCTGAAAATATACAGTTACATAATTGGGGAATGGGTTTCGAATTACACATAATATACAAATAACATAAGTGATACAAATATGATATATAATAACTAGATGGGGAAAAGCTCAAACTACAGGGCATTTCAACATAGTAACAGTGCAAGAAGTAGTATTTACTGGGGGTGAATACACTGGTTTATTACAAGTTATTGATAATTTTTACAATGGTTGGGATTGGGCTGTTCTTATAGCGATCAGTTCGTGCACGTATGGGCTGGATGCGGTTGTGGTGTCGAACAGCAATTCTCGGGCTAGGGATCTCAGGTGGTAGTAGGAGCCGGTGTCGAGGATGGTGCAAAAGCTTCTTACTGAATTTGCAGATGAGGTCGTGGTGATGGTCAGTGAGAGTCGAAAGGGTCAGTTTGTTGAGAGCTTCTTGATATGTGGAGTAGGAAGGGGAGAGAATAATCTTGCATGCCCTCTTTTGCACTTTCTCTAGGTGTTTACGTTGTCTGGCATTTAAGGAGGAAGACCAGGTAGGGGAGGCATAGGTGAGCTTGGAAAGTAAGAATGTTGAGTAAACACTGAGGAGCTCGGGTGCAGGAACTCCGAGGGACTTGAGTCGGCGGAGGAGGTGGAGACGGAAACTGGAGGATTTGACAACTTCACTGTTGAATGTTGTAATGTTGTATAATACAGTATCATGCAGGACACAATGATACGAATGTGACCCTGAATTTTCTTGTGTCTTTAATCCTATCAAAGACAAGGAAACTTCCTTTTAATAGCACCAAAACAACATTCCACTGTCATTTTTGTTGAAGATAAACAGTGGTTAAATCTCCACTCAGAGTTGCTGACAGGATTCCTCAGAGGTATTAAAATGCAAGGCCTGCAAGTATAAGCAGAATCCCCACTCAGATTTCCATGGTCGCCAGCTTCCATCGCCTGTTTCACTTGAGAATTATCCAAAATTGTAGCATCATGACAGTAATCTTGCCATTGGATTGTTGCAGATAAAAACTTGTAATCTGGCCCTTCCTATTTCTATAAATCTAACCCACTGTTCTACTTGGATTTCGAGTTCTGATGTGTGTGCAGTTTATGGCAACTTTTGCCCCAGGGAAGCCTTGTTTCTGGTAGAATCTGTTTGAGTAAACCCACAAATTAAAATGACTATTGCACAAGGAAACAAACAAATATTTTGTTTTAAATAAAGAATTTTCTCTTGTTTGTTACATAATAATCCTGTTGTTACATCATACAATATAGATAGTATGGTGAGTCAATGATACTGTGGTAAGGCACACACAAATTGTTTATTGATTCACATGACATGCATGAAGTAGGTGCCTTTTAGTCTGAATTTTGGTACCTGGCAATATATGCATTTTTGGGTAAATGTTTCAATTCATTTGTATATTTTTTTTTCTAATTTTCATGAATAGTAAAGTTCACAATAATCTTCCTTTATCGACCTTTTTTCTATAATAAGCTAGTGATTTGTAGTAGACTTGGGCATTTAATAGAAAGCTTAATGTGTTACATATTGGTGTTGGCCAATCTTACTTTCTAATAAACCATATAGTCCTTCACATATCAATGTACCAAATAGGATAATTATTGTATGTAATTTCTCTCTTTGAAAATTATATTATTCATATTTACAAAATAAATATTTATTGCATGTTTATGAGCATAAGAGCCACATCAATCCCCAAAGATGTTTACTAGAAAAAATTATAGAATTACCTTTGGTTGACATCTGAAATCCACACGAAATTTGTTTATAAAATTATACTTTCCATAATACTTTGGCGTACTGGATAGTATAATCACAGCAACACTGAGATACAAGTATTGTGTTCACTACATAAGCACAGTACAACATAAGTTAATTTTGTCACTATAATCATAATCAAATTATGATCAATTGATATTGATTATGTTAAAGTGTGGCGTTACAACATGATTGTGTCATATGATAACAGAGAGGAAGAACACATACAAAAACACTGTTGTTATAATCTGGGAATGGTGTTCATTTTCATGAACATTATATACTGCAGCTAGTAGGTCAATATTTGGAATAATCTCCTGGCTAGGTTAGGTTAGATTAGGTTAGGTTTGGTCTGTTCTTTTAACCCTACTTTTCCCCTGATGGCTAATATTTGGAAGAAAGTCTAATTTATTAACAGAAAAATGCACTCGACAATGATTAAATTATATTTATAATGCAAAGATTTTTTTTTTGTAAAAAGAAAAACACTTAAAAAGCGCCAGCCTTTCATACAATTACCCACTGATTTTCATGGACCTCAAACACGAAATTTGGGTAATAGTTGAGCAGACGGCTATCACCAGAAGGAGTTGCTTGAATTTGTTAATTTTTCCGCAGATGTTCTTTGGATGATAGTAAGTAATAAAAACGATACAACTTTTCATTTTAATCAAATGTGCTTTTTTTTCTTTTTTTTTTTCATTTATCTACGAACATAAACCACTGGTAATGGACGAGAAGTATGTCGAAAAGTATGAAGCCTCTCACCACGAAATAGACGCGTGTTCGATGTAAGTACCACACGATTACAATAATCTAAGAGACTTAACTACAAGTATAATGAAATTTGATAGAATCTAATCCTTTTATCCATAGTTCTTGAATGGAAGATTAGCAACTATAAATGTGCTACGAATTAAAAAAAATATATAAAAAATGCGGAAATATAATTCAATTGGGAAATGCTTGAGCCAACGAGAATGAAGGTGAAGCGCAGGTGCACTGTAACACTTAACAAGACGAAAGAAGGTGGTGAAAGAAGAAGCCAGAAAGTCCACATTAATAAGGAACAGCATCCCCAAGAGTGATTGATATTGCAGGGGCTGGGAGTATGTACTGGAGAATGAGAGTTGGGGTGTGGGGGGATGTGTACAGCTGGAGACCGAGGGAAGACGCAATAGACCTGGGGTGTGTGAAGAGCTGTGGGTTGAGATGCGTAAAGAGCTGAAAAGCATGAGAATATCTAATATTCAGTGAGAAAGACAAGACTGAAAACAAGTAAAGTAATATAAAAGGTGAAGGATGTCTGTGGAAAGCTCAGTAAATGTGGAAGAGAGATGAAGTATAGGTTGAAAAGATGTGAGGGATGGAGTGAAAGGTGAAGTGCTTAAAGAAAAGTGGTGTATTATGAATAGAGAGAGAGAGAGAGAGAGAGAGAGAGATGCTCTGAAATGCGACAGCTATTACTGGTAGGTGTATGCTATAACAGAAAGCCTTGGATTGGTTTTAGAGATCGACAGCGTAAGGACATAAGAGAAGAGTAGAAAAAAATGGAAAGACGAAGGAGAACGGAGAAAGAGGTGAAAGAAGACAATGAGTGGAGGTAGGTGAAATAAATGGAAACAAAGTGAACAACAGAAATGGCAATTCTGCTTATTTTTTTACGTCCGGAAAACACAAACATCTCTCTCTCTCTCTCTCTCTCTCTCTCTCTCTCTCTCTCTCATATATATATATATATATATATATATATATATATATATATATATATATATATATATATATATATATATATATATATATATATATATATGTATCATTGCTAACAAAGTCACAACTATCATAAATGGTGAACAGGCCCTACCAACACAGTTATTACCATTACAACTAGCATCGCCGGTTATTTTGCATACAAAACATACATAATGATAACTACATCACTGGAGTAATTTTCTTATCTCTATATAAAAATATTACCACAGAAATGAATATGAAGATATTAATGTTCAATGTTTAACCTAAGAACCAAATACATATACATTGGTGATACAGGTGCTGTGTCAGGCGCAGAAAGTCACATTAGGAGGTTGACAGACGTGGATTTCATGGAGTCTCAATAGTATTCATATTTTTTTATTATTGTGTGTATAAAGTTGAATCGAATCTGTCATTAAAAACAAAATTAGTTGACCTTTTAATAATCATTAATTGTAATCACTGATCAAGTTTCAAATCTCCTTCATTAATTAAAATTTTTGTCATCACCAGCTCAAAATATCCTGTTAACTTGAAACTATTAAGTTCGAACATTTTAGAATATAACATTAAAATATACCACATGTTACTCAATTCGTGTCAGTCACGTTCTCATTGGGTATAATTAGTTGCATAATTAAGCATAATTAATAGATGCTGCTTATTATGATAATTATCAATTAAATATCCAAAATGCTCATCCAGCAGTAACTTTATATACAATGGCGAATTTAATATATATTTTTGTCTTCATATTTATAATTCAATAACAACCAGAAATTAGAGGTTTGAAAAGGAAGAAATCTGAGGATGTTATCAGTTTTTGCAAAATCAACATAATTCTAAAAACAAAATAATACAGTTTTCATGTAAGATTATTGTTTCTATCGTGACAACAATGAGGTTGTTATACCCATGATCAAAATACACGGCTTATACCAATATACTGTAAACACCCCGACACCATCTTAGCATTTTACGGATAGAATTGTTATAAAATGTTAGGATTTGAAATTAATATTTCGGTTGTGGATCTGTTGGAAAACGCATTTACTGAGATTTCTTAATCCCTACCTTCTGTAAACTCCTCACTAGCCGCCATGATATTGTCATTAACATTAGTAAGACAATCATGCTATCCTACTTATGGCCAGGCTTGTATTGACCATTTTGAGTGAGATTGC